CCCTCTCAACAGGCCTGCCTGTCAACCAACCCACTGAATTAGTTCATAAATATTATTCTTTTACCGCTCCCCCCAACAGAGATACACAGCGGACGGTTTCATCGTCGGAGAAACGAACCCAGAACCTTTAGGCCTGGGTCCACCCCCACAACATGTTGCTTAGCAACGCAGCCTGTGTTTTGCTGGCGTCGGTCTTTTTCTTCCACGCGAGCTGCGGGAAAAAGATTGTCAATAGTGAGTTGCCTCTTTGGCTTTTCTTTGTTAGTATTTCCTTCTTTCTTTTCTTTCTTTCTTTTCCCTTTTCTGCCTTCTGGCTTCTGTGGTCTAGAATGTACGCCCATAATGTATAATTTATTCACTTGAGTTATTTTGATTGTATGAATCTGTTTGCTTTAGGTTCTAAGTCTGGTAAATATCACGTTTTCTTTTTTTAAGAGGCAGGACCTGCAAAATTAAAGTCGACAACCGATACAAATAAGCAAAATGTCGGTGTGTGTGCGTGTGTGTGTGTGTGTGTGCGTGTGTGTGTGTGTGCGTGTGTGTGTGTGTGTGTGTGTGTGTGTGTGTGTATGCGTATGTGTGTTTGTGTGCTTTTGTGTCTTCATGATGCCATGTTTTTACGTATGCTTATACATCACTTTCTACTATTTTTCAAACAAGCGCATTGGTGTAGTGTGCGCGTAAATTAAACCACTTCAGTAAAGCAACTCCAAAGGATTTCTGAGCGCCGAGATCTGACCGTCTGATGTAAATGAAAAAGGCTTAAGTTGCATCCCCCAGGATTTTCGCCTGACTCTGTGGGACCAACACCGCCGGACTCACATTCCTGCTGGACGTGCAGGTATCGAAGGTCTGCAGCATGCGAGGTCGGAAGCTATCAGTGTTGCTCCGTTGTCCGATGCTCTCACTGAGAGGGGAGACAATCTGAGGTGATCTCACTTGATCCTGTAATCGTCCGCAGTTTCGTCATACTCGCGGAAATGAACGGGTGATATCTGGAAAGATCTGGTATCCCTGTCATTTTTTTTCTGCCCAGCTCACTCTTTTATATTATATTATCTTTCTTTGTCTGTCTGCTTGTCTTTATCTCTCCGTCTGTCTGTTTGTCGGTCTCTCTGTCTCTCTGCCTCTCTCTGTATCTCTCTCTCTTTCTCTCTCTCTCTCTCTCTCTCTCTCTCT